TAAATCTCTGGTCTTTAAGGCATAGGAATTGATCCATAATAGACAGTATACTGCTAGCCCCAGAAATTTCCCAATTCTTCTCTTTTGGGGAAGCCAGTGATGCCTCTATTCTTTCTGGCCTTAACCTCCTTTGGCCTTGACTTGACTAGATGCCCCAAATACCTAACCTCATTTTCTACAAATTTTAATTTTTTGAGACCCATAATCCTTGACTGCCAAGGAAGTTAAAGAAGTTAATTGTGGTATTGATGACCCCAAAAGGCATTCTTCAATCTATAACACTGAACAGTTGATGATTATGGGGGATCTTACTAACAAGAGTATATGGGTCAGGGACTACAGCGTGCTTACTTTTAACAATCTGGTTAGTTCCCCTAAGGTCCAGGACCAATCACTCTGAACAGGCTTCTTCACTGGTAGAACAGGGGTATTGAAAGACATACAAGGTTCAAGAAATCCATCCTTGATGAGACCCTCACAATAAAGTCGGTTCCAGCTTCCGGGACAAAGAGACGCTGTGCCATCGTTTTTCTATACTTAAAAAAAAAAGAGCAGAGAAACCCTCTCACCCATTACTATCAATTTTTCTGGGAACAGGTGCACCACTGGAATCTGTACACATAGAAGAACGAGGTGTCCCCAAGTCAACAAGAAGTGTGATTTCTTCCTCCCTACCTTTAACTTTGCTGAAGGTTCTTGGAAGTCTCAGTGGAAAAATAGAGCCTGTGATCCCCTCTCCAATCTTCATCAAAATGCATAAAGGAATCTTTTCTTCCTTTCCTCATTCTGAACATTCCCCCCACCATTTTTTTTTTTTTTTTTTTTTTTTTTTTTGAGACAGGGTCTCCCTGTAGCCCCGGCTGGCCTGGAACTCAATATGTGGACCAGGCTGCTTTGAACTAACCTAGATCTGCCTGCCTCAGCCTCCGGAGTGCTGGGTATAAAGGCATGAGCCACCACGCCTGACCTGGACATTCCCTTTTAAAGTGTCCCACCTTTCCACATTTAAAACGTTTGTTTTCTCCTCAACCGCTTACCAACTCCCCTCCATTCCTGGTCCTGTGAAAGCCTGCCCAGAGTCTTACTCCCAGAAAGGCCTGGGGAGAGTCCACACCTTTTTTAGGGCATCTAGCTCATGGTGGAAAGCATGACCTAAGCTTTTGGCTTTTGTTTTTCCTCATCCTTTTGAGTGTACACTTCTTGGACCTCTCTAAGAAATTCTTCAGTCTCTTTATCTTTCCAATTTCTAGACTTTGTAACTTTTTAGAAACATCCAGCCAACTAGTGGTCATAAAATGTAATTTTAATATCCCTTGACCAACAGGATCTTCCAGATTTAATCTAGAATATTTTCTCGTTTCTACTTTTAATCTGTCTAAAAATTCACATGAACTTTCATCTTTCCATGTTGAACACTGAAAGCCTTATTAACATTCTGAGACCAGGGAACTACTGACTCTCTTGTTCCCCTGATAATAAGGTCCTTCAGATTCCTCATGTGGTCCAAATGGGCCTCATTACTATTATCTCATTGAGGATCCTGACCAGGATATTTAGTGTCAGCTGCCAGGACCCCAGGCTCAACTGGGTGCTCCTGCTCCAGATAGTCGTTGCAGTCCTCCTAATCACCACCCTTTCTTTTCCTGAGAAAAAGAATACCCAGGATTGACATCATTTTCAACCCAAGTATAAATCTGGGGCCCTAGAAATTGATCCAATTGGTCTGCTATCCCAAAGGGGTCCTCTAAAAGACGTTTAAGTTTCCTTTTAAGATTTCTTACTTCACAGCTGGTGAGGGGAGCATTTACAAATCCAATTTCTCCTCCCCATAAGGGAACCTTTCTAAGTAGGTACACTGATTAGAGGGGGGTCTCTCATGGCTAGGGTTTGGACTCCTAGAATGGGAGAGTCATTATCCTTTTTATACTGTTCTAATTCCCTTCTAAGTTAGGATAAGAGGAATTCCTGGGAATGGGAATTGCTGGGGGGAGTTGGGGGTGGAGGAGAGGGAAGTAGGGGATAAAGAGTTGGAAAAGGAGTAGAGAGGCAAGGTATAGAACACTCTGGGATGAAGAGAAAGGGTAGAGGGAAGAGGTGAAGTAGGAGGAGGAAGGGTTTGTTGTGTTGGGCCTCTGATTAGGATTATAAGTGGGAAGGGGTAGAGAGCCAGGAGGACCCCACTGGCATTTTGAGTCTTTATCTTTTTTAAAATTTAAAAAATTTTATGTGTACACGTGTACTGCCTGCATGTAGGTAAGTGCACCCATGTCTTGCAATGTCCATGGATGACAGAAGAGGCTGTCGGATCCCCTGGGACTGGAGTTATGGACAGTTGTTAGCTGCCATGTGGGTGCTAGGATACGAGCCTGGGGCTTCTGCAAGAACAGTGTTCTTAACCGCTGAGTCTTCTCTCCAGCCCCTTGAATCTTTATCTTTAGGGTCGTCCTTATTTTCTGTCTTGAAGAAAAGTAATGGGGCCCTTCCTCTAACAAAGGGCACAATCTTATCTCTTCTTGGGAGACCTGGTTCTCAGAATTCACATGCTCAATTAAAAGCTGGCATACCCAGTCCTCATCTGAGTTAAATTATGGCACCATGGTGCTTGCTTGTTTTGGGCCTTCTGCATTGTCAGAAGTTTTCAGTTCTTGGGTTTCTTTGTCTACCTGGAGAGTACCTGAGGCCCCAGGCCCAGGGGCCATAGCAAAATTGGCCGTGGGTTTCATCTTCCCTGGGAGAGGGTCTGCGGCACCTCCTCAGGTAGGCAAGAATCCTGGACAGCCACCAAATTGTTAGAAATAAGCTTGGAGTCACAAATAAAGAGACCTCCACCACTCCAATAAAAGCATCTCAACAAGGCAAACCTTTACTTCTGATCAGAAGAGTGCACTGTTCACAATATACAGAGAAGTAAGCAGAGGAAATGGGGTATGACACGTTTTTATCCTAACTCCTGATGCAATAATACTGTGTCTTTTCCCCACTGGTTGGGGTTTGACCTCGCAGGAGGAATGGGGTGGGGGTAACCAAAGGGGTTAGGGCTTAGCCCCCACCTCCTACTCCCAGGTTATCCATTCCTGGAATGCACCAGGGTCTCTGTCTCCCCACCCCCTCTCTTTCGTAGCCAAAAGTTTTATAGGGTGTACATTAGGGGCGATCAGATTAGAATTCCTTGTCATAAATCAAAAGTTTTTATAGGGTGAGGAGGGGGTAATTAGAAGTCCTTGTAAAATGTTTTATGGTATTTCAAAGAAAAGACTAATCTTTGCTGTTTCTTACAGCTACATTCCTATATTTTAAGCAGTATACTCCAAACTGAAAGAATTTAAGAGTGAACAGTGGGAAACTCGAAGGAAAAGTAGGTGCATATAAGTATATATGAAGGTTAACAAATGACTGCAGAGGGCAGAGGCCAGAACAGAGTTGGAAATGGTTCAGCAGTAGGCTGATAGAAATGCAGAGTATTTAGTGATGAAAACTCCTAAGCATCAGGAAGCTGGAGTAGGTGACTGGATGTCTCACAGGTCTAAGAGTGAAGCTGTAGCCAGGAGTGGTAGTGAATCCCAGCATTTGGGAGCAGAGGCAGGCAGATCGCTGAATTGAAGGCCAGCCTGGTCCACATGGTGAGTTCCAAGCCAGCCAGGGGTGCATAGTGAGACTGTCTCAAACAAACAAAACAAAACACAAAACCTCCCACCCCTCAAAAAAGAGTGAAGTTGTAGAGTTGAGTCCAGTTGCAGAAGCAAAAGACCAGGACCAGGTCGAGGTGAAGGAAGGAATGGACAGCTGGAAGGTCCAGACTCCACGAACAGGCAGGAGTTGTCTACATATCAGTCTTTGACACACACACTTGGGCAGCCAGATGACAGGTTGGCTGGGGACACTGCTATCACAGTGTTAGATGTCCACTTTTTATGGGGTCCAGATGAGGAAGTTACACTCTTTCGCTGTGTCCAGTAAGTTCTAGGGCCTGGTTTTCTGGGTAAGATTTTAACACACTCGTGGTCCCCTAACAGTCTCACTTCGTCCTGATAAATTTAGAGTGTGGCACCCTTTCTTCTTTCAGGAATGTCATGTATCAGTCTGTGCTACATGCCTGGGTGATGTTACAGATGGTGCTGTTCACCTGTCCCCCCAAGGGCACAGCCCTCCTCCATCATCAAAACGGAATCTCTCAGGGCCAGGCACAGTCTAAAAATCCACTGTTTACACAATATGGAGACCTTAGAGCAAGACAGCCTGATGTTAATAGTTCTAACAATTCAATAACTTATTAATTTCAAAATGTTTCATCCTTATCACACCTCCTCTGCCAACTGTTTTTTCTTTTGTCTCAAACGTAACTTCTCACGCACGGCTTTCTGGACGGCACTGCCTACTGCAGCCCTAAGGTTAATTGCCACTACTGTGGACATGTCCTACTTCTACGGACAAGTGGGCAAACTGTCTTGGAGCATTTCTCTTAGAGGGCGGGGCTGCACCAGCTGAAGGGAAGCCTGGAGCCGGACGCCGCAGCTAGCTCGGGTCGTTGTCAAGCGTGCTCCCTGAATTCATCCTCCATCCCGGGAGTCCTACCTAGTGTGGTACCCGCCCAGGGCAGCCGCTCTGAGCCCCGGGTACCCAGTAAAGGCCCCGCGGCCGCTCCTCCCGCAGGAGGCTCCCTTCTCCTCCCCCGCCTCCTGACCGGAAGAGCTCCTCCGCCCACGTCACTGGCGCCCGGCCTGCCCCGCCTCACGCACAGCACGTCGGGGCCGTGGGAGGGGCTACCGTGGTGCGCGGCGAGCTCCGGTTGGAGCGTGTGGCCGGCGCGGAGGCGCGGGTTCCCGGATGTGGAGTCCCGCCCCGCCCGCTCCGCCCCGCCGCGCTCGCTCCGCCCGCTCGGCATTTCGTGCCTGGAGGTTGCGGTCAGCGTCAGCCGCCGCGGAGTCGGGCTGGTGAGCGCTGGGCTACGTCTTCCTCTCCTCCCGCCGACGCGCCTCGCCCCGGATTCGCCAGCCTCGCCCCGGGCCAGGCCCCGCCTCACCCCGCCCGGCGCCGGACTTCAGGCCGCAGTCACCGCGTCCCTCCGAGCCCAGAGCCGCCGTCCGCCCTCCCGCCGCTACCAGCGCCGCCCGCCGAACAAGATGGTTAGTCCTCGACGGCCAGGGGACGGACCCGGGTCGCCGTTCTGGCGGAAAATTCGATGGGCCGGGCTGCCCGCTCGCCCCTCCAGATCCCTACTACCTCCCTCGGGTTCTGCACGCGCCCCAAGCCCTGTGAGACTCCCCCTGCACCGCATGCCTCCCCCTCCACCCCGCAGGCCCTGAAATCCCCCGGTGAGCAGCCCCAGGCCCTGCACGCCTCTCCAAGGCCTTGCACCCCCCCCCGTGGGCAGCCCCAAGCACCTCCTCCCCGAAGGCCTTGCAAGGTCCCCCCGCCTCAGCCCCAGTTCCTCTCCCTAAGGACCCTGCAAATCCGACCCCGGCCATCCTCCTGGAGTTCTCTTCTCTGCACGACGTTCCCCTGCGTTCGCGTACCCCTGCAAGTCTGTAGGGCCTCCGCGTCCCCGGCCTTTGCGCGCCCCCGCCGCCCAATTCCCCTCTGCCGAGCCCTTCCCCCCGCAGGCTGCTCCTCACCGCCTCTCCACGTGGAGCCCACTTTCCGCCCCCAGATTGCTTCTGAAGTTGGAGGGTATTCTGAAATCCCGGGCAAATGATAGTGTGCTGTAAATGGCGCTTTATGTAAGACCCACTTCTCACAGTTGTGCTTCCTCCCACTCGCTCCGCGTTTTCCAGCAATGAGTCTTGGCAGGAATCCTTCCACTACCTACCTACCTTCGCTCGTTTTAGTATTTATTTCGCGGCTGGTTGCAACCTTAGGATTTTTTTTTCTCGCTGCTGCTGCTACTGGTGAAATAGAAAGGCCCAAGGTGATTACAGTTAGGACCTGTGCCAGCTTGGGTCTTGGAGAAAGGGTTACGTGTTTAATGTTTGCTTAGTGTTTTTCATTTTCTTTGTTGCCTTCGTTTTTCCATTTACGGCGATTTAAATTTGCCTTTCACATTAATCCTTAGGTGGAATTCACGATGTAATGTTCCTGACTGACGCTAGGGGTGTGTCTCCTTGTCACCAAACCCAGGAAATCTATGGCGCCTTTGACTTGTTACTTTACTATTTCTTTGGCTCCGTTTGGTCCCTATAGTTTCCTCTTTGTAATCAAGAAGTGTAGTACTGGAAAAATTTAACAGGGCTGTTCCGTTCTTCAAACATGACATTGGATTGTAACACTGTCTAAAAGTCTTTGAACAGTTACCAAAAAATTCTAGACTGGTTGGACAGATGGATGGCTCAGCAGTTAAGAACACTGGTGGTTCTTGCAGAAGTCTGGGTTCGAATCCCAGCATCCACATGGCAGCTAACACCTGTCCCTAACTCCAGACCCAGGGGATCCGACAGCCTCTTCTGACCCCCTCGGCCATTGCACGACTCGGGTGCACTTACCTACATGTAGGCAATACACGCATGCGCATAAAATAAAAATAAAATTTTTAAAAAGTTAAATTTTAGACTGATTTTGGGTAATTTCGTGCACCTTTCAATTTGTATGTAGGATATAGATACTTCAAAATGGGGTGGATTAGAGAAGGAGAGATTGTTTATCACAAATGAAAATTAGATGGTGGTGGTGAGAGAAAGGAAAGTTGAAATATGAAGTTAGTTGTTAGCGTTTTCTTAAAACGTAATGCTTACTGGTATAGTTAAAACCCGTATTATGAGCAGCTGTAATATGAAAAGTTTTTTCCTTAATTTGGGAAGCAGTTCGTGGATTCTTGAAAATTACAAAACTTAAGTCTTTTCCAGACTGTTATAGAAACTACTTTTTCTTGTCGTGGTGATACCACTTTTGCGTTTTGAGACAGTTTTACTTTGGGCTGAAACTCATCACAGTCCTGCCTCAGCCTCCCAAGTGCAAGGAAAGTAAGCATGAACCATCCCCTCCCATGCTCCGTGGCTTTGGTGTTTCAATGGAACTTTTTTTTTTTTTTTAATATTTTCTTTATTATTTTTATTTTATGTGTATGAGTATATTGCCTGCATGTATGTGAGTGCACCCATGTCGTGCAATGCAGTGGAGGTCAGAAGAGGGCTTCAGATTCCCCTGGAACTGGAGTTAAAGACGGTTTGTAGCCACCATGTGGGTGCTGGGAATCGAACCCGGGTCCTTTGTAAGAGCAGTCGGTGCTCTTAACCACTGAGCTATCTCTCCAAGCCCCTCAATGGAACTTCTTACATGCTTATTTTATGTGAAGATCAGGATCTTGAAGATATATGTCCATTGCAGTGATCTAAAAACATTTTATGTTACTAGTGCATGTTAAGGATGTCCTACACCACAGCGGTTCCCCCAGGTCTTAACACTTAAATTCCTTTTCTTGGTGCTCATGTTTTCTAATCGTTGACCATACTTTAGAACATGCCTTGTGTTACCTCCTTCCAGGTCGTTGTTCTCCTGCTCTTTCCAGCTTCCCTTATGTTTTTCTAACTCACCCCTGCCCTGTTCTCCATCCTCCCAAGTATTGTTTACAGATGGATAGAATTCCTGGTGACATTAATGGTCCTAACTTGAGGACCATTTTGGTCTGCTCTGCAGTATTGGTCAAGATCATGCCTGTAATTTGATTTGGCCATACAGCATACTCATTAACTGAAATACATTGGGCTTTGGAGTTAATTGGTTAATTTTCCTAGTTAATTAAGCCTACATTTCTGGAAAAAAATTCATCCCTTTTGGAAAATCTTTTTTATAACTCCTAGTGGGTACAGTGAATATTGTTAACTTTTTTAACAGATTTTATAGTTTTGTCACAGATTAATTCAGATGAGAAAGTAAAAAGGTTTGGGTTTCTTAAAAATCTTTTTATCTTATTTATTTTGTGTGGTATATGTGTATATGTACATGTGAATGCATGTATGTGCACATACATGTATTTACACGTTTGTGGGGGCTTGTTTGTTTTTTCCCTCAGTTGCTTGCCACCTTATTTTTTGTGTGACAGGGTCCCTCACTGTACCTGGAACTCACTGATTCATCTAGACTGGCCATCCAGCAAGCTCCAGGGACCCACCTGTCCCTGCTACCCCAGTGCTGGAATTACAGACATGTACCACCTCAACTGGCTCTTTAAAGAGTGCTGGTGGGTGCTGGGCATCTGAACTCAGATCCTCATGCTTGTGCAGAAAATACTTTATTGACTGAGCCCCGGGCCTCTTAAGGATCTTTTAATTTAAGGACAGTTAATTTATTTGGTGCCTTTAAAAGTAGTTCACCCCAGCTGGGCATGGTGCCCTGGGCCTTTAATTCCAGCACTCGGAGCCTCGGGCAGGCTGATCTCCATGAGTTCCTGAGGCCAGCCTGGGCTTCATAGCAAGTTCTGGCAGCTAGGACTGTGCACTGAGACCCTGTCTCCAAAAAATAAAAATAAAAGCTATTTTATGTCACTGCAGGGGTCAAAACCCTTCCTTCACTCTATTTGAATTTAAAAGTTAAGCATCAAGGAAAATGAAGGTTAGGTACATTGTATAAATATCTGTGAGTACAGAGTGTTAGGAATTTTGCCTGAGATAGATGGTTTGTATCTATTGGATTAGATGATAATGGATATGGCACAGAAAAGTTGGCTCAGTAAAAGGCAGTTGCTATTAAGCCTGACAAACTTTGATCCCTGAGACCCACATGGCAGAAGGAGAGGACTGACTCCTGCAAGTTGTCTTCTGGTTGGGGTGCAAAATCCCTTGCCCAAATAAATATAATTGATACTGTTATTTTTGTTGCGGATGCTTATGAGCATTGTCTATTCAATTTTAAGGCAACTTAAAGTTTTATAAAGGGATTTGTGTCTTGTTTTATTTAAGCTTGTTAAATTTGTTTTCATTTCCATGGACTGTAATTAGAACTTCAGTTTATTGCTTTGTTATATATGATACATATATACCAACTTACCTTATGACTAGCAAAGTTAAAATGCACATAAGTCATGACAGTTTCTCCCCTCATTATGTCCCATTGTGAATGAGAAAATGGATCAGGGTGTGAGATTCAGAAGCCAACTAAAAGTCAGTGAGAGGAGCAGACAGTATGGAAGAATCAGTCATGAATAAGTAAGTCAGCTTGAGCTAGGAGGATTAAGCAAGTCAGATCCTGAGCTTTGAGTGAAATAACGGGTTCATTCATACCAGCACATATTTGTAGGTTTTGCTTTTTGGTCACTGCTGGCCTCTTTGTTGTAGAGAATATTAAACAGTTAAGGCACATTTTCTTCCCTCATGCAAGTAGAGAGCATAAGACAAATGTCAGTAGTTGTGAAATAAGTTAGCATGAGATAAATATGAGTAATGTATACAAAGCCTGATAGAAATTGAGGAAAGAGCAAGATGAGTTGGACATTCGAGAACATTTTGTGAAGTAGATGAGAATTGTGCTGGATGCAGTGTGAAGGGAAACTTGAAGCATCTAGGAGATGACGTTTTATAACCTGAAGGTTATCAGGAGGAGAATATATATTTAGATAGTGATTATCCAAATGTTATCCTCAGACCAGCAGCATCACTATCACCTGGAAGATTGTAGAGTTCCGCCCTACAACAGCAAGTCCAGAACGGGGGATGAGCTAAGCTGTTTAGTTTTAATAGGTCTTCAGGTAATTGTGGTGCTAAATTTCAGAGCCATTGTTTAGTGAATATTACTCATTTAAATTGTAGTTGTGTCTGTTGATCTAGTTAGCACTAACAGTACGAAATAAGACATATCTCTAAACATGGAAATCAAGTGGGCTAAACAATTGTAGTATGGTTTGTGTGATTAACAAACTAATAAACTTGAGTGCTGTAAAACTTGAGTAGTGGGGCCGGGTGTGGTTGGTGGTGCACACTTTTAATCCCAGCAGGCAAATCTCTTGAATTATGGCTAACCTGGTCTGCATGGTGAGTTCCAGGCCACCTGGGGCTACAGGGAGACCCTGTCTCAAAAAAAAAAAAAAAAAAAAAAAAGTGAGTTGTGGGGAACAGGGTTAATTCACATTGGAGTTTCACTTAGGATGTTTCAGAAAGGGGATTTAGTCATGGGGGAGGGGCACTCCAGGTAGGAAGCT